GATATATGTTTGTGTGTATATAAAATCAAGGGACATAATTTACACAAACGTTATATATATATATATATATATATATATATATATATATATATATATATATATATAGATATATATATATATATGTGTGTGTGTGTGTGTGTGTGTGTGTGTGTGTGTGTGTTTAAATAAACTGATCTGTCTTTCTTTGCATATAATTACGTTTAAATTATAGCGGTTTCTCATCTTTTTGCGGCTGTTTCTTTTTTTGTGGTTTCTGACACAACTTCTTACCTATATGAGGACCAATGCTTTTATATCTCAGCCAATATAATTATTACTGTTTATCCAGGTAAGTAATTTACAGATTCAACTCTTTTTCTCATTATTATTCATTTACAATCTCATCGAAAAACATATTTATACTTCTCGTATTTTTATATAAATATTATTTTATAATTAAACTTTTAAGTTATTCAACGTGGTAATTAATTTCTATCGCATCTGTTCAGTTTTTTATAAGCATATTTCGAAAATTTAACAATTTTAAAAACTTCATTTCTGAAGTTATTATCTCTTGATTATTGCTTATAAATTCTATCTCAGTTAAGCAACTTGCTTTGTTTAACTATGTTCTTTTACATTAATTTTCATTTCCTTCCAAAAAAAAAAAAAAAAATGTAGCGATTCTTGATTAGCAAAAATGACTTGAAACCATTTGTTTTTTCACGTCTTATTTAATATTATTCTTTTCTAAGCCTTATTTAATATTTATTGCAATCTTCCTTATATTATGAATATACAAAAATAAATAAAATTTTATGTATAAATATTTTAACAGGTTTATTTAACTATTGATATATTTTCATTACTGATATATTTTCATTATATAGGTGTTACATTTTCATATGTAAATTTCGAAATATAAATTGGAGAATATTAAACCACACTATAAATAAAAAATAATAATACTTTTGAGATATTTTCCAACTCTTGTTTTATTTTGATTAGATACGCAGTACTTTTTCATAAATGAATTACGAATTATAAATTGGATTATCCAAATTTTAAAAAACAATACAATTATGAAAATTAATATTTTTGAAATATTTTTCAGCGATTTATATATCTTCATTACATACTTTAAACTTTTTCATCCGAAATGTAAAACGGATAGAAAATGTTAAAATACATATGCTATTAAAAATCATTTTTTTTTATTTTGAAATAAATGAATATATTTTTATTTAAAATTATGAAATGTTTAATATATGTATCTATATAATTAAAGTAGAATTTATATTTAAGCTAATTATAGTCTCGATATTAAATAACATTCTATATAATTTAAAATCTAATTTAAAAAATCCAAATATCAGTAGGCTGATTTGAAATTCAACATCAAATGCTCTGATCTCGCTTTCTTTTTCTATCTGTATGTCTCCCTCTCTCTCTCTCTCTCTCTCTCTCTCTACTATATATATATATATATATATATATATATATATATAGAGAGAGAGAGAGAGAGAGAGAGAGAGGTAGAGGGAGAAAGGGACAGACAGACAGCAGACAAACAGTAAAAGAGATCAGAGCCTTTGGTGTCTGTTGAATTTTAAATCAGCCTACTGATATTTGTTTTTTTTATATTAGATTTTAAATTATATAAAATTATATTTAATATCGATATATTATATATATATATATATATATATATATATATATATATATAGAGAGAGAGAGAGAGAGAGAAAGAGAGTTTTTAACCATATATATATATATATATATATATATATATATATATATATATATATATATATATATATATCAAAAAACTAAACGGGAACCCCAATGTCCTGCATATTATCAGGGATAAAAGCCGCAGCAAATAAATTAACAAATGCACTAATAAATAAATATTTGAAAAAAAAAATCCGCCAGTAACTAAGGGCGATAATATTAACAATAACAACAATAATAATGATAATAATAATAATGATAATAATAATAATAGAAACCTTTCAATGAAAATTATAGCTGTACCATCTGAGAGAATCACCAATAATAAGCCAACACTTTCAAGCGTTATCTCATCGGTTATGATATCGTCTCACTTATTCCAACGTATTTTCCTCACGTACTGCCTTGTCTTTCATTCCCATAGAAAGAAGGTGAAATCAACAGACTTTCGGTGAAACACGCCGTTTATAATTTTTCAACTTTGTCTCATCATCTCTAAAATTGAATTTATAAAATTAAAATAATTAGTTAATTGCAATGATTTTAGTCTGAATATTATATATTTTGCACTTTTTGAATCATCGACTGTTTCCAGATCCTTTGACGTTTTCCCTATGATTTTTTAAATTTTCCCAACGTTGCAACAACGGTTCTTGCCACAACTATTATCTCCATCTTCCACACTGATTTTCCGTTTTCTGTTGAGGTCCACGTACTTATCAAGATTTTCGTTTTTCTTTTAATTTTCCTCTGTGTTCTGTTGGGAGAGTAAAATCCATTACCTGGCTGTTTTTTTCTATTTGTTCAGAATAATTGCATCCGTTCCTTTGGCATTGACTGTTTGATCCGTTTGAATCTCAAAGTCACAAATTATTTTTGCTCTCTAGACAGATTCTGGTTTGTAGATATAGCATGGTACTGTATACTGAAGTCTCAGTCATTTTATTATTATTATTATTATTATTATTATTATTATTATTATTATCATTAATAAATATAGTGCCTTTTTTTTTGAGAAGCAGGCTTTTGCTACCAAAGCTAAAATATGTAATTATTATTATTATTATTATTATTATTATTATTATTATTATTATTTTCTTTGATTTCTGGCGTTTACACATTTCTTTCCGGGTTCCGCCCAGGGACCTAATGTTAGAAATGGCATCATGACACTTTCCACTGAAAAAAATTTTACATAGATAAAGCCCTTCGTAAAGTGTGGGCTGTACTTGTCAGAACAATTTTTTGTATCTCTTTGAGGTATTGACTTCCAGGAATCCCTTCAATTAGTTTACAGCAATCTTTTCCAACCAGTCCTAGGGCTCCAACGACAACAGGGATTGTTGATGTTCCCATATGCCTCATTTTCGAGATTTCTCTTTCAATATCTTATTATTATTATTATTATTATTATTATTATTATTATTATTATTATTATTATTATTTCCCTTGACTTCTGCAGTATACTTTTTTTCTTTCCGGGTACCAACGTGAGACATAGGGACAGAAATGCCATCATGGCATTTTCTATTGGTGATGATGATGATAATAATAATAATAATAATAATAATAATAATAATAATAATAATTTCAAAATCACAAAAATAGAATGGGTTTTCATATTGACATAGAAGTCCCTGTACCACATAATGTATCTTTGAAGATCATCAAAATACAAGGATCTTGAAGTTGAAATCTCAAAAATGTTATAGATGAGGAAAACAATAAATTCAGTTGTAGTTGGAACCTTCGGGCTGATTGGAAAAGGTGGCGATAAACTAATTGAAGGGATTCCTGATAGTCTATTCTTTAAAGAAATACAAAGAAAATGTGCTTACAAATACAGTTCACACATTATAAATTACTTTAAAAATCAGGTGATAAGTTCAATCCACTACCCTGGTTTCAACGTTACGGTATCCTCGGGCGTTTTTTATCAAATGACATCTTAAAGCATTGTATCATTTTTAAAAATATAAGTAAAATAACGCACGACGTTGGATGTAATAGAATGGAAGGAGGATTGTAAAGAAGAAGAAGAAGAAGTCGGGGAGTGACGAAAACCAAGGATATTATAAATATATTGTTGGAGGTTAATTTAAATGTAAAATTTATTTTATACAGTCTGATATGTTCTTAGGAGGAATTTCCTAATATGTAAGCCATGACTCAAGATTTTGAATTTCTTGTTCGAAACGTTCTCTGGGTCTGGAAATGTCATAATTGCTCATTTCACCTGTTGGCAGACGTTGCAAATATTGTTGTAGTTGTTATAAGGCTTCGCAATTTTAAAAAAAATTCCAGCTTACAAACGGATGCCTGTTGTTTTTTATCCTTTAAAATTCTACATGTTGTCAGCTATTTTGCTAGTGTATCTAAGATTTACTTGCTTGAATTGCAACTTGTGATTGTATCATGTACGTTTGAAAATAACTTCAGTAGTTGCTATGTACGTTTATTTCGGTTATTAATAGCCGTTACTTCTGCTTCATATATATGTAGGTATGTATGTATAAATGTGGACACCTATGTCGCCACCAGGCATCGGCAATTTGGTTCATGCTTGAACGCCATCTTCAAACTGTTGCCTATTGGTGTTGACTTCAGTGTCCACCTGAAACTTTTATGTTTACATACGCTGTATTTCTAACATTGTGGACTTTTACACATATGTATAGCGTATCCTAAATCTAGATTTGTATCATATATATATATATATATATATTTGTGTGTTTTTAGTAAAGTCCAAACCTTCCGAGATTTTTATTCTTCAGGAAATTGTGTGAATACTTTTAGTTCCGCTTCTTTGTCTCAGAAATATCCGAGAAGTATAGACCATTGCACATTCGTTCTCATGCCCTTCAGGAAAGAAGCCAGTTCAATCAGAAAATAGAAGAATTGGAAAAAAATATGTTCCTCGACCAAGTGCTTCACAATCTGCATTATTTGAACTTGGCAGTCACTTTTTTTTATTTAAATTTATAAAACAAAATTTTTGCATTGTATGTCAAAAGTAATAAAAGAGAACATTTCTCGGCCTTTTTTTTTCTTTTAGACATTTCAAATTGCTAATACCATTTAACTAATGAATCAAAGTGTTTGCTATTTTTGTGTGAAAAGGGAGAAAAAATTCTTTGGCATGATTTAAAGAAGTGGAATCAGCTCGTTAAACTACACATCAGTAATTCTTAACGCTGAACTATAACGAAACGAAGACGAATGAATGGAAAGAAAAAAAGAACAATTATATAAAATAGTTCTATAAAACAGAGATGGAAAGATGCGTATCATGAGCCGAGAAAAGGAAAAAAGGACAAAAAAGAAAAGGGTTTGGGGGAAAAGAAAAGTAGAATGATTGAAGACAAATAATCATTGATAGAAAAATAAAAGAAGTGAATTGCCGTCAAATAGAAAATAATATTGTTAACAAATAACAAAAAGAAAGAAATAAAAAAGACAAAAAGTTTGTAATGGTCACAAAATAAGCAAAAAGAAAAAAAGCCTGAAAGAAAGGATGAATGACAAAAGAATGAATACCTAAGAAAAAAAAATAAAGAAAAAAGTCAATAAGGTGTATAGAATTTACGAATAAGTAAAATGAGAAGAGAAAATAAAAAAAAAAAACAATGAATTAACCAAGAACAAAAGAAATAAATAAATAATGAAGGAATGCATGGATGAATGAAGTTCCACTATAATTCTTAGTATCCACAAATAAACAAAATAAAATGATTAAAGAAAAATAAGCAAGGACGACAGAAAGAAAGAGAGGCAGTAAAGGACGAAAGAATGAACGAAATATAAAAACATACATAGATAAAAAGATTGATGTGTAGAAATATTTTATGACGAATAGATGCAACGATATGAACAGGCGAGGAAGAATAGATAGATAGAGAGATAAATAGATAGAAACAGGCTAATATTGGTAAGTACATATATTAACAGGCTGATATATATATATATATATATATATATATATATATATATATATATATAGAGAGAGAGAGAGAGAGAGAGAAGCAGAATGAAATGCATACAGATAGAAGCAGAATTCGATAGATAGATAGATAGATAGATAGATAGATAGATAGATAGAAACAAGCTAATATTGGTAAGTACAGATATTAACAAGCTGATATATATATATATATATATATATATATATATATATATAGATAGATAGATAGATAGATAGATTGAAGCAGAATGAAATGCATACAGATAGAAACAGAATACAGATAGATAGATAGATAGATAGATAGATAGATAGATAGATAGATAGATAGATGGATAGATGGATAGAAACAAGCTAATATTGGTAAGTACAGATATTAACAAGCTGATATATATATATATATATATATATATATATATATATATATATATATATATAGATAGATAGATAGATAGATAGATTGAAGCAGAATGAAATGCATACAGATAGAAACAGAATAAGATAGATAGATAGATAGATAGATAGATAGATAGATGGATAGATGGATAGATAGATAGATAGATAGATAGCTAAGTAGCTAGGATTAGAGAAATAATCAAACTACGCGTATAAATTATCTAAAAGAAAATAAGAATGAACAGGAAAAATGAAGAAGTAAAAAGCGAAAGAAAGAAAGAAAGGAAGTGAAAGATGTGCCACAAAAGCCGAGGGAACACATGACAGAAGCAGAATTCGGGAATAAAATAAGCGAATGTAAAAAAAATGTAATAAGTCTTTAGCTACATTAGGATGAAATAAAGAATCTATCTTATTAACAAACAAACAATAATAGAAAATATTCTCGAAAAGGAACAGAGAATAGTTCCTCGCAAAGGAATGAAGAGGAGAAATAAACATAATTGTAATTATGCCAAAGAAATACACATAAACCATGAAAGAAAGACGAAGATAAAAAAGAAAAGAAAAGAAAAGAAAGTATTGAAAAATGTGGATAAAAATCAACAGAAAGGAACCAAAATGAAAAGTAAAATAAAAAAATAAATGCAGATAATCAAAACCAGCAGCTATCTGCCGGCGAACAGCTAAACCATAGAGACAAGACAATTTTCGCGAATGTAATTTATTCCAAAGCTGAGTGACCCCGGGGGTTTACTGCCTGATTGGGTCACCATCAATATCACACAATCAATTTCACTTTGAATAACGGAAATAAAGAGGAGTGTTTGGTGTTGGGGATGATGGAAAGAATGCAAATACACGTTCCACTGGTTTTTAAGATGGTCCGGTTCCATAACTGCCAATTGCTGCTAAAACGTCAGTGTTCTGATAAAAATGGAGGATAATAAAGAAAGAGAGGAAGAAAAAAAAAAAAGAAAGAGAAAAAATAGTTCCTTTTAGCGGGAATATTTCAAGAAAGATATGAAGAAAATAACGTATAAAGATATTTAAATTAGGGATATTAAAAATGCCATAGATTTCATTTAAAGTAAAGTTATTAATGAAGAAACAGGATAAATTTTAATGCATAGGTGAAATTATGACGAAGATACATAAAAATGAAAAATATATAATCAAAGAAGAATTAATGAAAAATCTAATGCTAAGTGTGCGAAACGTCCTACTCACTCTATGAGCAATATTGTGCCACTGCACTCACAACGATCGTATTCCTTTTGCGATCACCGCAAAACTTAAGCAGATTACCAAGAAATAGAAAATGTAATTAAAAACATAAAAAGAGTGCTAAACAGCCATATCAATCCGCTTGTATAACAATGAATGCTGGACAGTTTGCCCAAAGATAAAGCAGATAAAGTGGAATCTGGAGGCAACAGAAATGTCAATATACAGAAAGATACTGTAACTTACTTCGATGGAGAAAGCAACGCCGAAGTCTTAAAGAACATGATTACGTAAAGAACACTCATACTAAGTATAAGAATGAGACAGCTGATATTTGTTGGACACGTAATGAAGAAAAGTGGGGGGGGTAGAAAACTCTCACAGTGTATATCGAAGGCAATTCATCGGGCCAGCTAACTAACAAGTGTATGTGAATGAATAGCGGGACAACGGCTGTAGGCCTGGCAAAGGTAGAAAAAATAGTACAGTATTTACATTAGTCGGACTATTGTCCTCATCTTTGTCGCCATATTTGTCACAACGTTTCGGCCGTTGTACGCTCCGGCCTTCTTCAGGTGGTTGGAATTTCGAACTGAACCCTTTATTTCGATCGCTGGGGTAGACTGTTCTAATTCCACGTGCCATATTTTGATGGATGTCAGTTATCAGTTATCTCCTACTAATTTTCCCTCTGAAAGTTCTCCACTGCCTTAACCAGGAACTGAACTCACCTTCTTTGGGTCTGTCACTGGATCTAACCAACGCCTTTATCCACTGTGCCATGTGTCCTGGTGACAGACCCAAAGAAGGTGAGTTCAATTCCTGGTTAAGGCAGGAGAACTTTTCAGAGGGAAAATTAGCAGGAGATAACTGATAACTGACATCCATCAAACATGGCACGGGAATTAGAACAGTCTACCCCAGCGATCGAAATAAAGTGTTCAGTTCGAAATTCCAACCACCTGAAGAAGGCCGAGCGTACAACGGCCGAAACGTTGTGACAATATGGCGACAAAGATGAGGACAATAGTCCAACTAATGTAAATACTGTACATAATACCTCATCTCAGAAATATAGACAAACTCAGAAAAAATAGTATTAAGGATTACAAAAGATATGAAATTGCGGAGAAACTTGATCGTGCATTTCCTGGATCAATACGGCGCTTAGAAGAAGTTGCCAACCCTAAGACAAACCGATTTTGAATTCAAAATTAGTCTTCTCCAAAATTTCTTACCATCGAAGGTGTTGACCCTTGTCTGATCTGTTTACACAAGCTTGGAATGTTTAAAGTTCTTTCATAATTTTCTCAAAATTATTTGGGCAAAAGCGAACACACTATACATTACTCAGAACATGAAATCAACATGCTGCTCTTATTTTCACTACCGGTAACATAGACGCACAGAGCTTAGAGCAGCAATTAATAACACTGAGAAAATCTCACATTCCCAAAATCTTAGAATTTTTATGTGCAAGATTTTTTTTGCAACACTCAAATTCATGTTGAAATGATCACAGAATTTAGTATCGTTGAAGTTGTCGTTAATATTTTTCATTTAGATTTACAAACACTACTTTTCATTCAATTTCTCAGACCAATCGATGAAATTTGAATAAGCCGAATTGTTTGAAAAAATATTTCTTTTAAAAAATCCACTTCCAGGTTTAATCATTAATTTAGTTTAGTAAGACTTTATGGGGAAAATATTTTTTAAGAAAAAGTATTTTTTTTCCTTTTTAGCAGCGAAGAAAAAATTCTTAATATTCCTTACTCTTGAGCAAACAACATGCAACTGGTCATGCGTAAATATTTCTTACTCGGGATAAATTCTACCTTTTTGAAGCGTTGGCCTTGGGATTTGTTTATACTTCTCGCAAATATAAGGCGAACTGAAAACTGGATTCTTATATTTAAAAAAATGATAGGCAAAAATGTATTTTTATTAAATATTTTTTTATTTTATTTTATTTAAAGCATTAAATAGATATTATTTTAAATAGTGGGTGTATTTTATATCTTAAATGATAAAACATTTTCCAAAATAATTAATTAAAAATTATTGTACTAAGCTACACACCCTAGTAAAACCAACTGTACCTTGTACCCCCTGAACTGTTTGCAATTCTCCCCAAAATTAGGTCTTGATCCTCAATATATGACTCATTTAGATTGTATGACGGACGAGTGAGAAGTCACATAATTATATATATAGATAACTCTCTCTCACTCATTCTCTATCTATCTTTCCCCCTCACTCTCCTTGAATTTTACATTGTTTTCCTTGTATTTTAAGTTGCTGTTGTCATAACTTCACTGGTTCGGGTTTGGAAAAAGTAAAGTGGACAACATCACATATCATATATTTAATAACTAATATATTTGTTGTTGCACACCTACAGACGATAAAATGTACGTCCCCATTCACATAGATATAGTAATAAATAATGTATGTTGGTCTGCAGTTGGAGATTCTTCGCCAGATGTGCTGGTCATTTTTTTTACCTCCGAGCAGTGACGATGCCCAGACGAGGAAACAGCTATCCGAACACGTTTTATACGGGGTCTACGGTGAATTTTTGGCCGACCCTACAGGCTCGGATGCCCCACATTAAATGACATATGACCGCGTGTGGCAGATGGTAGTTTTCCTGTCGTTGGAGATTCATTGTGGCAGTCATTTGACTCAATTCTAGCAGCTGACTACTTCTTCTTTTACGAGCTCCTGGCGAATCTTATGTGTTGTTCGTGTCCTAGGTATTATCGTTCATTACCAACCTTCGTGTGATTATTCTATTCAGTAATCTTCCCTAGGTTACAACATTATCAGCTGAAAAATTGCTTCGACTTTGCATTCCCTACAATAATTATATCAATTACCCTGATATTAAATTTTTCGATAATAAAGATTAAACTTGTAAGTCAAGCGTAATATTTGTGCTTCACCAATTCAGGTTATATTCTTAACCCTTATTTTCATAGCCGATTTCTTTATGAGATCATAGTTTCATTAATTCTTTTTCTTTAGCTTGCCGAACATTTGTGGGTCAAATAAACACATGTTTTACTGCAAAAATATTTTTAGGCAAGAAAATATATCATCAACAACTTTTTAGACATAACATAGAATTTGCGAAACACAGGGTACGATGTGCAAATATCGCCATTTGATACTTATAATTTCGCGTATGGACGTGGTTTGTTTTTGATTTTGAAAACTGAATAGTATAGTAGAATTAAATAAGCACTGTCAGATATGTGGAAAAGGTATGAAGTACTTTTTAGCAATCGTATCTTAGAAATGATTAGAGATATCTTCCATATTTTTAATTTTTTTCATCATTCTCTTGATGCTTCTTGAATGGATTTGAAGATGGAAGCCAGAGTATTGGTACCAACACTTAAAGCCTGAATGATCTTTTTCGTCTCACGTTTGCTAAGTTTGGATGGTATCGTGGGGCTGACACAAAACAATTTTAACCTTTTCCCTTTCTACCTCACGTAGGGTTTTTCAGTTATTATTACGAGAAATGATGTCAAGATGGCTAAACATCTTATCTAAAATACTGAAAAAAAAAAGCTGAAACTCAATTAGTTTAGTGCATTTTGAAAATAAACTTCATTTGGAATGGACAGTTATCCCATACTGTTACAGGATTTGGACAATTCTGGTGATATACACACACGCACAAAGGCACACAAACATACAAACACACTCATATACATACATACATACATATATATATATATATATATATATATATATATATATATATATATATATATATATATTCACATTTCATTGAAAACGACAGCCAAGGTGTTTTTATTTCTCTTTTTATAGGATTTCTCATGCGATGTAATACTTTTTTTTTCCTTTTCGGACGTTAAATTATATAAAAAAACTGTCCGAATGTTCTTTTTATCCCACTGCTTTCGGTTATACGTTTAGCCATTTTCAAGGATTATATTTTAACTTTTAAAATAAGAAATAGTTTGTTGTATGTAAGTTTTATAAAATGTTTTCATTTTTCCAAAACACGTCCATGTTCAAAGATAATATTATTAAATGTTGGTTTGTTTGTTTTTATTAATAAGGCTTCCATTATTTTAGACTTTTTTTCATGTAGATGATGTTATTATATTAGTGTTGTCAACAAGAATGTTACGCATATTGTCCGTTAGGTCTCCATGAATATATAAATGAGATCTAACTGAGCTATTATCAGAAAGGTGTAGAGTGAGTCTCCGTGTCAAACATGTTGTCGTGTGGCCTATATAATTATTTACGAATTTTGATTGATCAGGAATACAATTCCTTAATGGCCATATAAATTTGTAAATAATATTTGCCCTATTTAATTTAGTTCTAGAGGGTAAATTATTATTTTTAACTATAACATTAGAGGTTTAAAATTTGAAAAAAAATGTATTTATTATTTTTTACAAAAATTTAAAACCTCTAACTTTATAGCTAAAAATAATTCAAATTGTTGTTTTCAAAGAAATGTGCATGAAAGAATGATGTCTGCCTAAATACACGAATATAAATTTTATATATATATTTATATATATATATATATATATATATATATATATGTCTGATTAAATTACAGACATTTTAACAGCTAATAATATTTAATAAAATCCGTTCATAATCACGAATA